AAATTCATTGGAGTGACATGCACTGCCATTGCTCGGCTACAGCCTTGCCTGGTACTCTGTTTCTCAACATGACAACAAGTCAGAAACCTCAAAACTGCTGTTTGCCCTGCTGGTTTGGCACCCGAATCATCTTGCCCTGCGGATCATCGCTCTCATCCATCTTGGCGTCGCCGTAGACAGTGAGGGGTAGGCCGAGTGGTGAGAACTCCTGGCACCTGGAAAGACTCGTTCACTCATGTACGATAGGACAGCTTTGCGCAGCCAACATGGCGTATCACACCCGCCCGGGAAAGGGCTCTGGTCCTGTGTTTCTCCGTCCGTCGCCAGAGTCAAGCGGTAGTTCGTCGAACTCTGTCTGTCCTGTATGCAAGAACTGGTCTCTTGAGCGATGGACGACACCGTCATATGGCCGACGACAGAGCCCCGGAGCGCCGATGAGAGTCGACTTTTTTCAGGTGGCCGAGTCGGCCTACGAGGAGCAGTGCCGGTTCTGCTACGTCATATACTATTCGCTCCTGGCCATGGGTTGCGATGTGCAAATCCATGGCTACTCGGTCCTGTCTCTCCATGCAAAGCCGAACGCCCCCTTCTACGTTCTCTGGGATGATGCTCGGGTTGGCCGCAGCGTCGTCGAGGTGTTCCGTGAAAAGGACGCAGGCTGTCTGCTGGACATGCTTGGGTCAGCAACACCCCTACGCGAGGATCTTCGCGATCCAGGACTCTACGACGAAATACGACAGCTTCTCCACGAGTGCGAAGAGGAGCACCCTGCGTGTTCACAGGTCACTGGTGAGCTGCCGCGGCGGCTGCTGCATGTTGGGCCCGCAGCCCGTCCCGATCTCCGCGTGACAGCCAGTTTCCCAGAAGATGCGCGATACATTGCTCTGAGCCACTGCTGGGGGCCCGACGCGCCTTTGACGACCACATGGGCAACCCTCACGCAGCGCGAAGAAGGCATCGAGTGGAAGGACCTGCCTCGAACGTTTCAGGATGCCATCACCGTCGCTCGACAACTCGACGTCGAGTACATGTGGATCGACTCTCTTTGCATAATACAAGATGACGAGTGAGCGGACCCCCCCCCCCCCTTCGCAGCGTGGTTGAACACCGTGGCAAGCCCCCCCTTTGCTGACTCGCCTCGTACCACCACAGAGACGACTGGGCCGTCGAGTCGCTGAAGATGGGCTTCATCTACGAGCGAGCCTACCTCACAGTGGCCGCAGCAACGGCAGCCGGCGACCGCCAAGGGTTCCTCGGCGGCTCGCCCGGGCGCGAGCACTTTGCCTCGCGCACCATCGACATGGACCCCTTTGGCGGGCCGTCGGGCGTGCAAGCGCGGCGCGTCTTCGACGTGCGCGCCACGACGCTCCAGGACCCCCTGCACACGCGCGCGTGGACCTTTCAGGAGCGCATCATGCCGCGGCGCATCCTGACCTTCTCCTCGGCCGTCTTCTTCGAGTGCCACACGGGCGCGCGCTGCGAGACGGGCAGCG